CCAATTGTGGGCCAAGGAGATACTGGTCTAAGGCCTGTGCTAAAACACAGTATGAAGGCTGCAAAAAGCAACGTTGGTCTGGAATGTCTGTGTTGCAGTTTCTCGGTACAAAGTCTGGTCTTAGTAGTCCTGAAATACATGGAGTATCAGGCTAATGGCATCGAGAAGCCAAATGAGCCTGAAGTATCTCTCCTTTCTAGTGTGTGGAGTTAAGGTTCAGCAAACGGAACACAAGACTCCTAAGTAGGTCATGACCTGCAGTCAGAAGCACTGTATGTTGGCATTGATCTATGGTATGACTGCTGGACAGGAGTACTAACTCTTCAAGCCCTTGCAGGGCTGAGTGTTCAGTATGGTCGAGGTCTCAGGGCCAAAGGATCATAGACTTTAAAGTCAGAAGGAGCCATCACAAAAATTTAGTCTGGCCTCCTGTACAATTGCAGGTCACAGAGCCTCACCCACCCACTCTTATAATATACCTTTCAATGTTGTGTCATCCACAAATTTTATTAGTGCACATTCACTTTTTGTGCCAAAGTCAGTTTATTTAAAAAAAAAAAAAAAAAAAAAAAGATTCTGGAGAAAATCCACTAGTAACTTCCTTCCAGCATCACAATTCACCTTCCAGTATTTTGGAATGGGGGATGACTGACTACACTAAACTATCAGACACTATAATATTTACAAGAAATCATTAAGCTAGAGAAAAGAGAAGTTCCAGCATAAGGACACGGAGGAGAATTCAGTTCTGTTATGCAGCTGCAGCAAAGGAACTGAGGTATTTGGAAGGGGTGCTTCCTTACACAGCCTATGTCTACACTATGGGGGTTTTCTGGGATACCAGAGGTATCCTGGAAAAACTCTGCCGTGTCCAGGGAATGTGTCTGCTTTTCCGGAAGCCCTGTATCCCTCCTCCCATGAGGAAGAAGGGGTCTTCTGAAAGAGGATGCTTTTCTGAAATTTGGCCCAGTGTAGACAGGCTAAATTTCGGAAATGCCTCTTTTGAAAAAATTATCGGAAAAAGGTTTCCAAATTGCAAAGCGCAATTTGCATACCTTTTTCCGATAGATCAGGGTAATGAAGACATAGCCCTAGTCTAGGGTGATGACATCATCCTCAAGTGAGATTTCTTGTACACAACAATGAAGACAAGTTTTCAAGAGCTTCTTAGTATTAGGGATTCTATAAGTAGGAAAACACAGAGACCTTCAAAGAACAGCCTATGATTAATTATATTGCAATACAGAAGAAATATGGTTACTAAGCTGTAAAAATGTCCATGAGAAATTAAAAATGTATTTTTCCATAGATTTCAGATTCATTTTTATATTAATTGAAAATAAAATAGCCTAATTCAGAAAAAAATGCCTTTCCTATAAGTCTGTTTCCATTGGAGATTGGGTGTCAATGCCTTTTCAACAGTCTCAGGGGATCTGCAGTAAGGAAATGGTAATACCTTTCCTTGGCAGGAAAAATATGCTGTTGTATTTTAATTAAATTCACCTACTGATTTGCAATACACAGTAACAAATGCTATATTACACTACAGCATATTACACTATGGCATTAAGAAAA